GGGAGGACCGAGAATTATGGAAATCGAAAACGGCAAACTCTAAGGGATAGAAACCGTCGAAGAAGAAGGAATCAAATTAAAAGCATACTACATATGTGTTTACCTGTGCTTTCTCTTTGGTTTTTTTTCAGGTTCTTTCAGAGGTGAAGTTTCATCAGCAACTGTATCTTTTTGTTCCTTGTTCGCATCATCTTCATCATCTCCTCCTTCAGGTTTCTCAGCAATTTCTCCTGTAGCACATAGAGAATAAAATACAACGAACGTAATACACTCATTTACTGTACTTTTTCTACAGAGAAAAAACTATTTGCAACTATTAGATTAGGTTCACTGTCTTTACTCTATCACATTTAATTTGCGTTTATTTTTACCACCTTGCTAGTCGTTCTATAACCACTTCTTGAAGAGCGGAACATCTGCCCCTGAAGTGCGGTATGCAATTCTAAGAAGTTCGTGAAATACCACGTAGGAATTTCTTTGTGGTCTCGAGTACGTAATAATCAAACGGGACTAAGTTTGAATAGTCAGGCAGGTGAGACCGTTCTTCCATGACCATCTCTTGGACTGTCTCGTGTTTATCGACTTACATTGATGTTGTCTTGTAACAGCAGCTCGTTTTTTTTTCACTTCCCTGACCGCTTCTTTGGAATTGCGAGGTGAAATCCTTAGAGTCTCCTCCAAAATATTGGACATTATCATCATTGTGGCTAGATGCTTGTCGGCCACGGCACTCTCTCTATTTTTTCGGCGATGGACGGCAGTGAAGTGCTCCCTCATCCGCTGTACTCTCCAGTCTGATTATAACCTCTTCATAGCAACAAACAAACACCTACGTGGTTAGAATTTCACGAACTGCAAGCCGCTGTCCAGGAGAGGGAGCGTAACTCTCTAAATAAGGGGTTCCTAGACGACTAACAAGACTTCAGCGCCGATCAAAATATTGCACAAGTTTCAGAAACGTTATGTGGAGACAGTTGACACAAGCGAAAAACCTTTTAAAAATACAGCACGCTCCTCGTATATAGCGAGTAAATCATTGCATAAAAAGAATAACTCTTCAAAATCTCGGAATCAGGTGAGAAAAGAGAAAAATAAGTACCTAAGGAGCACATACAAAATTAAAATTTAAAACCCAAATGAACAAAGCGAAAAACAGAAGTAATAATTATTCATCACACTGATATTTTTTATTTATGCAACATCACTTACCAATCTGAAACTGAACTCGGCGTGAAGCATCAGTAGGAGATCCGAAGATTGGACTATCACTGTAAGAAGCTGCTCTCTCTGACACTTGAGGCTCTGATTCACTGCTCATAAGGGTTGGTTCGTCCCGATCATCATCGGGACTTACTGTTCCAGAAAGAGTAGCCCTGCGTGCATAAATTTCAAATTTCAGAACGCAGATATGACTTGTAGAATATTCCAGGAACACATCCACTTCACTGTAATTAACAAACAGACGCGAGAAAATTACCGTGTAGGAGTTTCTTCAGCCAAAGAGGGGGATAGAACCGGAGGAGACACGGCCGAGTCCGATTCTGTTTGGGATGGTTTGCGTGAGCCCCGAGAAGTCTTCATTACATAAAACAGAAAACGGTGATTGGTATTATCATAGGTAATACAAGTGCTTTGGAAATTTACGATAAATTATCTGGAAATTTATAATGCAAAAAAGGTTTTTAATAAGAATATTTTACGAATTAAATTACGTCCAACAATCATAATAAGTGAACTATCATAAATACAAACATACACACACACACACGCTCTCTCTCTCTCTCTCTCTCTCTCTCTCTCTCTCTCTCTCTCTCTCTCTCGTGCGTGTGTGGACGGGAGCGCTCGCGGGGGCGTGCGGGCGCGAGCGCGCGCGCGTTTCATTCAACTTCCTTCAATATCTCGTTAATTCAACCACGGCTGTCTGCTATTCCTAAGAATACCACTTCCTATTACTGATAAATGTCAGCTTATGGTTGGTCAGTACAGAGAAGTGACAAGAACAAACGGATAGAATATATTACACACTGACACATTATATGTGTGTGTGTACATACATACCTCGTCTTGAATTAGTGAGTGAAATATTTAATAAAACGCAAGTGGTTACTGACGTGACTACATGCAACAATATCAGTTCAGTGTCACTTACCTCTCCGGAAATGTCAGCACCTTCTGACTCAGAGGGAGGAGACCCAACTCGTTTTCTCATAGAGCGAGAATGAATAGACTTCAGTGGCATGTGCATATGAGGATAGCTTTTCTTGCGGTGCACTGTATACACACAAATGAGAAGTACATTTCATATACGTAAGACAAACATTTTATGGGAAAAATACTAATAGTTATATTGGACCACAAGGTAAAAACTATAAGCCGCCCCACAGTATCAGGTGACGAACCAGACCTCCCTCGGCCTTGGTAAATTTTCAACTGAAAAAAATGATAAAGGTGGACATAAGTTTTGTAGGAAAATGGAAAATTGCCAGATACTTGTGTTCGTAACATGTTCTTTTATTTCTACAAATACTATGGTAAAAACACCGGTAGTGACCACAGTTAAGAACATATCCATAGTTTTCTTACAATTTTGTGCTTCAATACTAATTTCGTTATGTGAAACGCAACAAATGTTTAGCATACTTCTATCATAATATATCCCTTGCTTGAAAATGGCAAATTTTTAATTTTTTCTATTTTCTTAAAAATTTATTTCTACACCCCGATTTTGATTCCATGGTGGGAACTCGAAAATTGCAACATTTTGGCAATGGTTACATACTCGATTCGGTAATGTTCAATCGACACCCTACGCTCTGAACATGGTAAAAAAAAGTCTATAAGGGTATCGGTCCATGTTACATTATTGCAATACCAATACTAATAATATGTTTTCAGCCTTATCTTTAAATATAAAATCACAGAAAAAGATTATCTTCGAACTAATCCCTACCACTAAAAGGCATAACCTTCACGTTCTGCAAGTTCGAAGCAAGTGGAAAGCTTCCAAATTTTATTTTTGAAATTTTGTGCTTGAGATGGTCATTACTGGTGTCGCAACCCTATAAGTTTTCCACATATCGTAATTATAGTATTCTTCATTTCGCGTAACTCATAACGAAACACGCACCTGTGTCTCGGACCGACGCGCAGTCTACAACTCGAATCTCCGATTTTTGGGCAGTTTCTTACAGATTCCGGGGATTCGCCTAATGTTCACCTCTAATGATAGAATGAAGAAGGAAAGATGAAGCCTATTGATTAATATATTGCTGTGCTGTGACATGCTATGGGCTGAAGTCTATTCTGTGAACGTTTTCTACATTCTGGGATGCCTATTCTAAACAATGTATAAGATGAAATCTGAATACAGAAATAAATGAGCGTTTTTGGCAAGAATTGTTAACAGAATATTCGCTCCGTTGTAATAAAATCTATATTCAAAGGCAAATCTGGTATAGATTTGGGATCTTATTCCTCATCATGTTCTTCACAAAGGTATATACTTCTGCCGCGACAATATGGAGATAATTTGAATAACTATGTTTCCCACTGAACTCTGGAAGTCGTGCACAGATAATGAAGTAACATGCACAGATAATTAAAATCGTGTGCAAAATCCGCAGTTCATCGCAACTCGAACCTCTCTATCTGCCAAGCTTCAGTTGCGGACTCGCTACATTCATTATACGCCATTGAGCTGGACGACGCTATATAATACTTCAAAAATTCATTTGCTATTAACATACGGCCAAAACCTCCTTGCTCTGTTCAAGAATTATAATCTTCAAGCGGTTGGTGTCTAATTCTAATTATACACCATTCATTATACACCATTCATACGAAAATAAAACGGCTTAGAAGTTCTAGGAAGGAAACATTTATTTTCACTTTCATTACACACTTCAAATTCAAAATACACCCTGTACAAATTTTTCAGGACAATTTCAAACATGCATGAATTATAATCAGTCAATCAACTTTTGTAACAAACAGTGAATCTGTCCAGAAGCAATGAATTACAGCATTACTCTTCTCAAAGATAATACAGAATGTCAATGGCTTTTACGAAGTAAAAGTCGTCACATTAATAATAATCGTCACGTCGTAAGCAGCCCCATTACGCAGCCCCGGGTTCGATTCCAACAAGACTACAGTATGCGTTTTCCTTGCAATGTCCCAGCGTTTGTTGCTGTGTGACGATGAGAAAAGTCACGTCTTAAGACCGGAATACGGCGTGGGGACCACACGTAGCCCCCCATCATGGCCGCGAGGCAAGGACGTCGCCAGTATGCCTAAGACCGTTCACGGGCTGTCGCGCAGAGTACATACATACAATAATAATAATAATAATAATAATAATAATAATAATAATAATAATAATAATATATAATAATGATAATTATATAATAATAATAACAATAATTATTATTATTATTATTATTATTATTATTATTATTATTATTATTATTATTATTATTATTTTATGCAATAAACGGTACACATGTGGTCTTTCCGGAGACACTACCTTACAGAAGCACAAAATTAAGTTCATTATGCTTTGTGTTTAGAATTCTTTCAAATTCTGTCAGCCTTCATACTGCTCCTTGGGTATATTTTGGGAAAGTTTATTGCTGTCTGAGATATGCCATAATATTTGGGGAAACACATCCTATAGCTCTCAGATATTTAGATTCCAGTAAAGAATTCTAAGAAAAACAAAATTCTACCCACATGATTATTGTAAGCCCTTCTTTAGTTAAGCTAGGAATTCTACCATTGCATTGTTTCTTGATTTACGAATCAGTAGTTTTTTTAAAAATGACTTGCATGATATATAAATATAAATGTGTAGAGTGATATCATTTTGATGTATGACTTTCACGATTTACTGATTACGTTGCGAAATTTTTTGACAACACGTAATCTATGACCTGAATTGGGCCAATATCGATATTCAACTTATTTCACACTTCTTCGGCAACGAAGAGTATTACAATTTGTATTCAGTAATCATATTTTCTACGTAAAAAAATATTTAGAATACATAATTCATAAATGATGAAACACACATTTCATTGTATCTAATGTCCCTTAAATTCATTCGAGAGGAATGTTTACACATTTTCAATGCTAGTGTAACATTTTCTTTTTCATATTTATTTCACTTACGTACCTTTAGTTTCCTGAGCAGCTCAGTTCCCGGTTCAGTCCCGCATCACAATGTTGAAATGTCTGCTCTTCCTCACCCACAAGAAATAAACCGGCAATCTCGCCATGGAAAACGTTTTCTTGTCGAAGTCAATATTAGACCGCGGCTGATTCTTGTATAAAATGATACTACTGAACGGCTTAACTAAATTGAATCTCGGCAATACGTCAACTGTGTCATGAGAAGTGACTACCAGTCATAAATTCTTCTCCCAAAATAGAAACAAGATCAGAAAATAGGAAAGTTCTGAGAAATGAAGAATGTGAATCGATTGATAATTTCAGTCCCGCAAATCTAATACGGAAGATTCAATGTAGTTTACTTTAAAATCAGAAACAAACGTAACACAAGATAAAAACATAGCTCTCTCTCTCTCTCTTTTTCGCTAGTCATAGAATTTAGATTATAATTTGAAAGAAAGCCAAGCTACTGCCCTTGTGCTTTGTTTTCATGTACCAGGTACAGATCCAGGGGGGGGGGTGAGAAAAATTCCATCCCCCTAAATTATTTCAGTAACTATCAATATTAACTTGTCACGAAACTTTCAAGCAAAAATATTTTTGGATTATCAATAAAACGAATAAAATCGTATCGTATTGAGTCGAATCGTAATCGTATTGAGTATGCTTTGTGTTTTGTTTAAATAATTGTTTAACCTTTTCAGAATTAACTTCTCTAAAATTTTTGATACTGTTTGTAATACACTGATTGGTCTGTAACTTTCTCGGATAGTCTGATTTTTATTTGGAACAGGAATAATTTTTTAGTTTTTCTAAAGTATTGGATAGAAACCAATTCTCAATACTAAGTTGTAGATATTATTTATGAAGACTATTGTTGGAGTGGATTCTTTCAACATGACGCAGTTGAAGCGGATTGAATCGAAACAATTTTAAAGGATTCGTTTCGACATATTTTGGAAGCGAACTAGAATTACTGGCTATGAAGGCGTTGTGTCTATGAAATGCTGAGTGCTGACTAAAGCAGCAACATCCTCAACATCACATTTGACATACCATAAAAATGCATTTTCCTAATTACACATTTCTATTAGAAAATGTATCACGCGAGTTTTTAATTCCACAGGTGTAGTGTGTTTTACAAAGGCAGTCTGCATTTTTGAGACTTTCCGCTTTGTGCTTTGAACTTTTCGCTTTGTGTGGACGGAATTGCAGTTTTCTCGTTCGCTGTAAGTGGAAAATAGTTTCCATTGCAGATTGAAATGAATATCATATAAAAAGGCCTGTAAAGTTTCAGGAGATCGAAAGCAAACGAGACTCAGGATCCCTATGAAAACTAGTGATGATACAACAGCACTTTACTTTCTGACATTATTTCTAACAGTTACCTAATATTATAATACTACTTGAATCGCAAACGGGTTTCCATTCCGAAAAATGTTTGTCCAGGCTTGGATTAGAATTCAACAACTTAGTTTTACCTAGTCATGAATATACAATTCAGACTGCATAAAAATCTTCCTTTTGCTTTCAATAGCAAGTTGAACAGATTCAACCCGAAAAAAGCGTCCGTCAACGACGTCGCGATAGGGCGGAAGAAACCCCGCGACGCGCCTCTGCCAATAGCGGGAAATGAAGTGGGGGATAGTCACGTGACCCGCGCAGCCTACGAGCTGATCGTTAGCTCTGCATTCCGCTTCCGATCAGAGACACAACGAGGAGTAGGAGGGCGTTGCTGAGGTGGGGGCGAGGGCTAGTTGCTTCGACTCACGGGCCGACGCCAGCGGATGCACTGCAGCCGCCCGAATGCTTTGCCTCATTGACACATCTCATGCTGACTCTGGGAAAGCTGGCTCTGAATAAATGCAGTGGACCAAGACTATAAATGCCCGATCGCGAGCCCAGAGTGGCGACGGGCTGGGGTGTGATTGACGCAGCCGCGAATCGTGCCGTCAACGCCCGGACCAACGTTGTTGACGCCAGTCAACGCTACCACACCGCATCGACGCCGCAGCCATCTCCCGATCGCCTTGCTGAAGAGCAATTGAGGGTGAGGCTAGACGCAGCCGTCCGACAACCACCGCTCATGTAACCGGGATCGT